TTTTAATTGGATTGTGAGTCATTGTGTAGCCCTCAGACCAACACATATTTAAACAAGAACGAGACATACCCAATTTAACTTCACTCAATCTAAAACAATTCACAAATCTAATAATAGGACAAGAAATGTATATAAGTAATACATTCATATACAAAGTGTCAAGAAACCCTGCTGCTGTCATCTCCACTGCATAACGCTGGGTTGGGGACACTGTCACACCACAAGCCCCCGCGCTGATAACGTCGCCGAAAAAAGTGGAGAAAAAAAAAAACCATAGCAACGCAATCGAAAATGTATATATCCGCACGCAGCTGCTTAAGGCTTGTATCACGGTATATTAGCCATCTGATTGAGATCTGAAAGACAGACGGAAAATAACATAAAGCATCCAATTAACGGAGAAGGCAATAAACATTTTGCTCCCAGCAGTCTCGGAGTCTCTGGCACAGGCTGTCAAAAAGAGCACATTTCACTTCTTTCCAGCATTATATATTTGTTTATTTTTTATTTTTTTTTTGAAAGATGCGCTGGGAAACGGCTGCAAGTCTCAAGTAGCTCTGAAACAGTTGTTGTTTTGTGCTTTAAATTTTTTTTTTTTTTTTTTTTTTCTGCCTGAGATGTTGTTGCAGTTCAGTGTTCATGGTTTTACACTGGTCCAGACCAGAGCAGAGAGGATTCATGGTTTTACACTGGTCCGGACCAGAGCAGAGAGGATTCATGGTTTTACACTGGTCCAGACCAGAGCAGAGACGAGAGGATCATGGTTTTACACTGGTCTCAGACACTGGTCGACCAGAGCAGAGAGGATTCATGGTTTTACACGGTCTGGACCAGAGCAGAGAGGATTTCATGGTTTTACAGAGCAGAGAGGATTCATGGTTTTACACTGGTCCACCAGAGCAGAGAGGATTCATGGTTTTACACTGGTCCAGACCAGAGCAGAGAGGATTCATGGTTTTACACTGGTCTAGACCAGAGCAGAGAGGATTCATGGTTTTACACTGGTCCAGACCAGAGCAGAGAGGATTCATGGTTTTACACTGGTCCGGACCAGAGCAGAGAGGATTCATGGTTTTACACTGGTCCGGACCAGAGCAGAGAGGATTCATGGTTTTACACTGGTCCGGACCAGAGCAGAGAGGATTCATGGTTTTACACTGGTCCAGACCAGAGCAGAGAGGATTCATGGTTTTACACTGGTCCAGACCAGAGCAGAGAGGATTCATGGTCCAAACCAAGTGGATCAGGTGAAAATCCACTGGAGGAATGCTGTCTTAAGCTCAAGCTTAAGACAAACCAAACATGCACCCATTTTTGATCCTGTAAATCAAAAAATGGGTGCAATGGGTGCATAATAGTAAATAATAATGATTGTGAATGTGTATTGTCCATATGGCTGTCATTGGTGGGGGGAATGTCTTAGCGTTAGATCACTGTTGTAAATATGTGTTTTTAGGGCTAGGCCTGTTATAATTCATTCTGTATAATGTGTTGCACTGTGGGGAAAAGCTGAACCAGGGGCAGGAGGTGAACATTAGCATTAGCAACACTCTGTATGTGTAGCATCAGCTGCATCTTTCATAATGTAATGTATGACTACACTGTCCCTGTCACATAAATAACATCACCAGCTCATTTGGATGTGTGTGAATGTGTGTATTCAGGAGACTTGTGTTCATGTGTTATTTCAGCAGCTGTGTGTGGACTGTTTTCTGACAAATGAAAAACAGTATCTGCAGCTGCCTTGTCAGAGCAGACTTAATGTTGTGTGGTACGTGCGTATTTTAAGCCTACAGCAGAAGACTCCTGGGGTTTGGCATCTTTTTTATTGTGTGAGTAACAATGTTTCTCCAATAATTCAGTGCCAAGAAAGAATGTTTTTCAAATGATATCGACAGCTCCGGAAAAGCTATTTATAAAAGTAATGTATAGTTGACGATGACTTGCAGATACAGTGGCTTATTTTGATATTTAATGAAACTCTGCGTTAGTAAGTAAGTAAGTTTTAAGTAAGTTTTTATTTATATACCGCCTTTTCACTGCAGATCTGAGTCTCAAAGCGGTTTACAATTGTTAATTTTGGGCATTTGTCTCTCACTCCACACAGAGATGGGAGCGGGGTCGCCAGTACAGGAAGCGCATGCCAGAACTATTGGACATATTTTTTAGTGGTAGGGGAAACCAGAGCACCCGGAGGAAACCTACGCAGACACGGGGAGAACATGCAAACTCCACTCAGAAAGGCCCTGGTCCGACCGGGATTCGAACCCAGGACCTTCTTGCTGAGAGGCAAGAGTGCTATCCACTCAGCCACCGTGCCGCCCGCGTTGTGACCAATCAACCGAATAGCCATCTCTTTAGTCAATAATTTCTTGATGCTCTACTCTGTAAAACATCAAAATGATTGTAAAAGTAAAAAGACTTGTACATTTCTCCTCAGAATTAAAAGGTTAAGTCTGATGTTTGTTTATTTGTATATTCGTACTCCTGGATATTGTCAGTGGGCCTACACTCATCAGGCTGTGGACTCAGTGGGATCAGTGAGGGGCTGGTGCTCTGTGTACTGGCCCCTCACTGATCCCACTGAGGGGCCAGTACAATCCCACTGAGGGGCTGGTGCTCTGTGTACTGGGTGGATCTCTGACTGCCACCCTACCGACCCAGAAATGGATTAAGGGGAAGAAAATGGATGGATGAATATTGCATTTTCCCAGACGAACCCACACAGAATACTGGACTAGATGATTGCAAAACTAGTAAAACAAAAATCTGTATGAATTGCGTGCCGAAAAACAAAACAAAAGTCCTTATTCCACCTAGTCTTTCTGCCGAGGCGTGTTCACTCTGAGCGAATATGGCATTTAACTCATTGACTGCCAGCCGTTTTTGATGAATTCACTCATTTTAAAGACCCACAGAATATTATGTGCTATGACTATGTGAAATATGAAACCAGATTCTGAAAGATTGGACTGTCTACTTTCAGCAGCAAAAATAAGTTGGTTTCTAGCTAGTTTTGTTTACCTGTAATCAGCAGTCGAAAAGAGGGTCTCAGATAAATACGTCAATGGCAGTCAAAGAGTTAACAGAAGTCAAACGGTTTTATGCCAGCGCTTGATGTGGGTCAGGTGAAGAAGGTTATAAAACTACACGTATTTGGATTAGCATAACAAGCTCTTACCATCAAAGTTAGAAAATGTTGTTATTTCTCCACATAGTAAGTAAGTAATGTTTATTTATATCGCGCATTTTCCAGACCAAGGTACAGACCCAAAGCACTTTAAAATGTTCAGAGTCAGATATTGTTCCAATCCTTCCACACACGGTGATGACAGAAGCGAGTCCAGAACACACTGGACCATCAAAGCCTCTGACCCAACACCATCCATTCACTCTCTCATTCACATTCAGACCTATTGTGCATGTTTTTAGTGGTGAGTAAACCGGAGCACCCGGAGGAAACCTACGCAGACACGGGGAGAACATGTAAACTCCACTCAGAAAGGCCCTGTTCCGACCGGGATTCGAACCCAGGACCTTCTTGCTGAGAAGCGAGACTGCTATCCGCCCACATGGATGATGAGCTCGTTGTAGTCCATTATCATGTAACTCTCTGGTCCTGGGTGAATTGTGATGTTTGTTTTGACCTTTTTATTTGACACATTTCTGTCTTCTAAAAATCTTGCCAACATTTCCCACTGTTGTCTGGGTTTAACACGCCATTTCAACACGTGTCCAAAAAAAAAAACGCCGCGCCGCAGGAGGAAACGCTGTTAGATAGACGGATACAACCATCAGATGGAACACAAAATATGGTATAATTAGAAGTTGCGAGACCAAGGGCCACAGTTGCTCTTCACACAGACTTAGCAGTGTCCCACATGAAGAGGAGCCATTTCATCACCGTGTTTACCGCTCTCGTTCGCGTGGCGTAGAGGCTTCAGAAACCCGCAAACGCAGATGAAACAAATGAACGCTCAGATTTCAGCGGAGGGATTAGAGCCTTGTTTCAAGTGTTGGCACATCAAACATACAAAGGCATAAACTGGAACAAGAACTTAAAATAGTTGTTCTGTTTATTTAGACGGCGTGTACACAGAATGAGTCCCACAGTGGCTGATTGTCTTGGCCTTGTAAGGACAAAAACGACTGAAGAAAGTCGGGTGTCCTTTTTTTTTGACTTGACGTGAAGTTTTTTGCCTCTTCTATACCAGACAATTGTAAGACAGCCGCATAGCAGACAAAAATAACTTGATCAGCTAAGATGAGATGAACCTTCCAAAGCCATGGACTGGACTCATAGACTGTATATATTAATGAACATAGTCACGCCTATCTCCGCCGTTCTAACTAATGGGCCAAAAATTGGGCTTTCATGGAGTGATTCAAAATGGCCGCGGGGGCTGGAAAATGTGGAAAAACACATCTGTGCATGCGTCAGCTGCACGAGCTCCATTCATTTAAACGAGAGACTTCAAAAATTCACAGCGACTAAACTAGACTGGTCCAGAACACTCAGCATTGACACACATGTGGAACGGAGCTTTGGGCCAAGAGCCAACTTTTAGACCATCCTGTAAAGATGTTTTCCAGAGGTAAGAAGATGCTATATGTTAGCATTGGCTAATTCTTATTCCGGGTCCACCCCCACAGGCCCGGGGTGGTATTGCAGCATGTCAGCGCACGTCATTTTGGCCACTTTTGAGCAGGGACCCGCGCCCACTGACTGGACTATACTGGACTGATGACTAAGGCTGGTGACTTTGTAATCAAGCACTTTTGTTATAACTTTCTGCCCACTGCTTTCAGGATTGCATAATGTGACGCAACTCTTCCTACGTCTTTCTGTGTGGACAGTTTAATTCGTACCAAGTCTAGCTGAGTCTCTCTTGTCCTTCTGTCTTCATTCACAGTGATTTTCATGCCAGTTTGGAGTTTCCTCGTCGCCATTTCTTTGTTCACTGAGCAGTAAACACAATTTCTCGCGCTCGGTAAGACCCATGCATCACTGCAGGGTAGGAGCTGATGGATGGATGGACTGCCACGGGACGTCCCACATGAGGCACCAGCAGCGAGTGGGAGCAGAACAAGGGAAGCCCCGGTGGAGCCGTGGGACCGCGGAGGAGGTGGCTGCAGCCGAGGACACGCAGTGGAGTAGGAGGGAACAAAAAGGGAGGCAGAAGTACGGTGTAAATGTTTTGGAAATTGTGGACTTATATTAGGTTGTGTTCTGTAGTCATGTGTGATTTATAAGAACGGAAAAATATTTAGCTATAGCCAGGTCATTATGAATCCTTAAAACATACATATTTCAGTTGTGTTATGTGAAAATGTTAGGGTAAGGGTCATCGGCTTTGATTTGAATACTTTATTTTGAGCCATATGACATTCTGCACCATACAGCAAGCACTGTTTGACACATGGGCAAAAAAAGAATGGAGATCAAAACAAAAAAAAAGGTACAGGGAGAATCTGTACAACATTATATTATTATTTAAAAAATGGTGGTGAACTCAGACCATAATGGAGAGACGCGTTGTATTTAGTTTTTATTTAAGATGAAACTCTATAAAGATGTCCTCCAACGTCTTCATTTAATCCAACAACCCAAGTCCACAGACAAGTTTAACCAATACCGTTCTAGTGCTTTGTATACATTTCTGCTGTTGAGCTCTTGGCATACATTTTTTTCCCAATGGAGTGCTGCGCAGACACGAATATCACAGGCTACATTTCCAAACGCCTGAACAATAATCAAAGCAGTTGAGTTATACAAAGGGACAGGGACTATGGGGGAAAAATTAACTTAGGTGGAGCTACGTGGCTTGTTTCTTCCATAACATTGTTTTAGCTCAATCTAAACCTTTCCTGCGAACCATTTTCACAGTCACAGGGGTCTAAGCTTATCACGTTATAGAGAACAGAACCGTGTTATCCCCTTAAACTGTTTAAACTTGCCACTAAAAAAACATTTTCAGTATAACTTTCTTTCTGTCTTTTGAGATGGACTGGTATGTGGTGTCTCTCGGTTGACGGTCAATGGGTCAGCACTAGACCACCTTAACCCTATACTTAACCATCTTACTCAGACCACCTTAACCCTAACCTTAACCATCTTACTCAGACCACCTTAACCCTATACTTAACCATCTTACTCAGACCACCTTAACCCTATACTTAACCATCTTACTCAGACCACCTTAACCCTAACCTTAACCATCTTACTCAGACCACCTTAACCCTAACCTTAACCATCTTACTCAGACCACCTTAACCCTATACTTAACCATCTTACTCAGACCACCTTAACCCTAACCTTAACCATCTTACTCAGACCACCTTAACCCTAACCTTAACCATCTTACTCAGACCACCTTAACCCTAACCTTAACCATCTTACTCAGACCACCTTAAACCTAACCTTAACCATCTTACTCAGACCACCTTAACCCTAACCTTAACCATCTTACTCAGACCACCTTAACCCTATACTTAACCATCTTACTCAGACCACCTTAACCCTAACCTTAACCATCTTACTCAGACCACCTTAACCCTAACCTTAACCATCTTACTCTGACCACCTTAAACCTAACCTTAACCATCTTACTCAGACCACCTTAACCCTATACTTAACCATCTTACTCAGACCACCTTAACCCTAACCTTAACCATCTTACTCAGACCACCTTAACCCTAACCTTAACCATCTTACTCTGACCACCTTAAACCTAACCTTAACCATCTTACTCAGACCACCTTAACCCTATACTTAACCATCTTACTCAGACCACCTTAACCCTAACCTTAACCATCTTACTCAGACCACCTTAAACCTAACCTTAACCATCTTACTCAGACCACCTTAACCCTATACTTAACCATCTTACTCAGACCACCTTAAACCTAACCTTAACCATCTTACTCTGACCACCTTAAACCTAACCTTAACCATCTTACTCAGACCACCTTAACCCTAACCTTAACCATCTTACTCAGACCACCTTAACCCTATCCTTAACCATCTTACTCAGACCACCTTAACCCTAACCTTAACCATCTTACTCAGACCACCTTAACCCTAACCTTAACCATCTTACTCAGACCACCTTAAACCTAACCTTAACCATCTTACTCAGACCACCTTAACCCTAACCTTAACCATCTTACTCAGACCACCTTAAACCTAACCTTAACCATCTTACTCAGACCACCTTAACCCTAACCTTAACCATCTTACTCAGACCACCTTAAACCTAACCTTAACCATCTTACTCAGACCACCTTAACCCTATACTTAACCATCTTACTCAGACCACCTTAACCCTAACCTTAACCATCTTACTCAGACCACCTTAACCCTAACCATCTTACTCTGACCACCTTAAACCTAACCTTAACCATCTTACTCAGACCACCTTAACCCTATACTTAACCATCTTACTCAGACCACCTTAACCCTAACCTTAACCATCTTACTCAGACCACCTTAAACCTAACCTTAACCATCTTACTCAGACCACCTTAACCCTATACTTAACCATCTTACTCTGACCACCTTAAACCTAACCTTAACCATCTTACTCAGACCACCTTAACCCTATACTTAACCATCTTACTCAGACCACCTTAACCCTAACCTTAACCATCTTACTCAGACCCACCTTAACCCTAACCTTAACCATCTTACTCAGATCCACCTTAACCCTAACCTTAACCATCTTACTCAGACCACCTTAACCCTAACCTTAACCATCTTACTCAGACCACCTTAACCCTAACCTTAACCATCTTACTCTGACCACCTTAACCCTAACCTTAACCATCTTACTCAGACCACCTTAACCCTAACCTTAACCATCTTACTCTGACCACCTTAACCCTAACCTTAACCATCTTACTCAGACCACCTTAACCCTAACCTTAACCATCTTACTCAGACCACCTTAACCCTAACCTTAATCATCTTACTCAGACACCTAAAACTTAACCAGTCACCATTTAAGGACTTATTTGTCTAAAACTCATTTGAAAGTAGGATTGTTACTTCTGGTTTCGTCCCGATTCCGTACATGATCTAGTGCCGACGGTCAAAGATGAGATAGGAGGACTGTGAATGACAAGCTCTGACTGAAGCGTCCAAACCGCCACACATCACGCCAGCGTTTCCGGTCCCTCCTTCCCACAGATGGAACATGTTAGCGGACAAACGAGTGAAAAGGGAAAGGGCTGGAGCCCATTCTCCGCCATGAATGTCACCGTCACTCACCGCAGAATTCCTCTAAGTGATGCAGACAGACAGCCATTCTGATTGCCCACCAGTCGAGCCAAGAGGTGACAAAAATTTACATGCAAATACGAATGACCCGCTTGTGACTGCGAGCACGCTACCGATAGTATTCTGAAGGCACCGCAGAGGCAAACAGGAACTCCAGACATGCCAATCAACGGCTCTATTGTAAAACCCACAAAGGGGATGTGTTTAGGATATTAATTATTGTGGCTGTTGGCAGCGCTTTACAAAATGAGTGAGCCAAAAATAAGCATATATATAAAATTAAACTGTCGCCGTAACTTATTTTGGTTCTATGAATACTTTTTGTTTGCCCCAACAGAAAGAGTCTTCAGGCCATTACATGCTGTCTCTATCTTATTAGAAAACAAGTAGCACAATTTCATACACAAGGCAACTCAAAGTGCTGAACAAAATAAGATAGCATTAAAATCATAAATAATCACATTAAAAAGAAAGATAAAAATATAAAATCCCTCAGTTGTAGCACAGCTAAACAGAACTGTCTTTAACCTGGTTTTAGACATTGTCAGAGAGGAGGCCTGTCTCACATCTTCAGGAAGATTGTTCCAGATTTTAGCAGCATGAATCTGAAAAGCAGCCTCCCCATGTTTAGTTCTGACTCTGGGCACTAACAGGAGTCCAGTCCCTGTGCTCCTCAGAGTCCCAGCAGGAGTCCAGTCCCTGTGCTCCTCAGAGTCCCAGCAGGAGTCCAGTCCCTGTGCTCCTCAGAGTCCCAGCAGGAGTCCAGTCCCTGTGCTCCTCAGAGTCCCAGCAGGAGTCCAGTCCCTGTGCGCCTCAGAGTCCCAGCAGGAGTCCGGTCCCTGTGCTCCTCAGAGTCCGGGCTGGTTCATATGGGACTAACACGTCACTAATATATTTTGGTGCGAGGCCATGGAGAGACTTGTAACAAGCAGAGCTGTTTTAAAGTCTATTCTCTGAGCCACAGGGAGCCAGTGCAGAGACCTGAGGACTGGACTAATGTGGTCATAATGGTATATACTGAGCTGATCTAAAGATTAATTTAAAGAATAAAAGCATGCATGTGAAGACTAATTATAGAACAAAACATATTTGAGAACATGGGAGAGTTACATGGATGTTATTAAATGGTAATATTTTGTGTTAAGGTCGTCCAGCTCTAAATAGAGGCTTATATTCTTGCTGGAAATATAATGTTTAAGTGTCTTGCTTTTCTATCTTTGATTTTAAAGGGGAAAATCAATGTTCTCAGCTGTTGTGATCTTATAGTTGTTTTGTTTAAAGCAGCCATTCCCAAACTCAGTAACACCGAGGCCCCCTTAAAAATCTGACGGGTCTGCGTGGCCCCCCAAAATAATAACCAAGAAGACAACATTAAGAATAGGCTCTTCTGGTTATTTTATTTTGGGGAAATAGCCTCTGCTACAAACATTGTAATACAAAAATGATTACAGTGGATTATTCAAGTCAAATAATGAACACAAATATTTTAATATTACAAACAAAACATTATAAATTTAACATTAAATAATTATATTATTTTTTAATTTTTTTATGACCTCCCGCGGCCCCCCTGCAGTACCCTCGCGGCCCATCAGGGGGCCGCGGACCCCACTTTGGGAGACACTGGTTTAAAGGACAACTCACCCTCAAATCCACTTTTTTTTGCTGATAAACGGTATAAATGAGTGTCCAATAGTGTTGTCTACATATCCTGGTCATAATCTTGTCACTTTGGTGCAAATTAGTTGAAAGTTAGACTTTCTGCCTAAAACCGTCTGTGAGGCGCCATCTGCTGGCGACCTGTATTACTACATTTGAATTTTGAATCTGGCGCCAACACTGGCACAGAAGTTGGACCTGACGTCAGCAGCCCCCCGCCCAGAGCAATGTAAACGGCTGTTAGGATTTAAGCAGACAGAGACGGATTGTGGTGTGCCAAACTCT